GCTGCTCCCCTCAGCAGTGTACTTCGTCAATCTGCCTGTTCTGCTCCCCACTCTGTCTCTGGTGAATCCTCTCACACACCCTTGGCCAGTACCCCAGCTCTCTTACAAATAAATAAATCTTTAAAAATGAGAAATAACTTAGATGTTAAACAAGCACAGAAATGTATATTTATGAAGACCATGAGGCTCCATAGTTTTTATGATGTTAATATTTAAGAATTATGCTAAATATATGATACTTAAAAACTTACATTAAGCAGCTATTGGTGATTCATTTTACTGTAAAGGCTGATCAAGGAAGATGCCCTGGGTTTGGTAGATTTCTTTGAGGACCAGCAATACTGTATCTTCAGACTCCCTATAGAGAGACACTATATTATGAAAAGAAGAAACTAACATTTTGCTAGTAGCTTTACATATATTAATTCTCTATAAAACTACCTCACACATACATTTTTTACTACAGCAAAAAAAAAATCAGGTCATGTAATTAGAAGGCAACTTTTTAAAAATTATGTTTATGTGTACTTTATATCACTGTTCACTTTTAACCAATATTGACTTCCCCTCTCCAAAACACACCAAAACAAAAACAATTATGAACCCGAGATATCCTGCAAGTGAGGGGGAGGGAAGAGCACAAGGGGCTGTGGTGATGGTGCACCAGTGAACTGGGAGAGGAAATTCTATGGAAGGTAACTTTTTTTTTTTTTTTAAAGATTATGTATACAAGGCATGTTTCCTAATAGAGGCTGATCTTTTTATTCTCCACCAGTAATGTAAGACTGTATCCTCATCACTTTTCCAAACTTCATCCTTTTTAAATCTTTTATTTATGCATACAAGAACTGGGGTGTAGGTCAGAGGTGCAGGGGCAGTGAAAGAATTCATCAGCCAGAGTGGGGAGCAGAACAGGCACACTGACAAAGTACACTGCTGAGGGGAACAGTGGGCGAGACAGGAGAGGTCTGCTGAGCCATGTGGGTCACCTGTGGGGTGAGGATTGAACTAGCACCTAAGTGGCTGACGCCAGCTTTGCAGTGCTATGCTTTAACCTGCTGGGCCACCAGTGAGGGCCTGGAAGGTGACTTTCTAACCAAAGTCGAGCAGAAGTGAAATTCTCAGTGTTATCACTAGCCACTGCAGCAGGAAGGCAGGATTTCAACCCAAGCCAGGGAGCTGACCCACATGGTACAGGAGAACTCTCCTATTTCGCCTGCTGCTCCCCTCAGCAGTGTATTTTAGTGTATCTGCCTGTTCTGCTCTCTACTCTGGTGAATCCTCATCTCCCACACCGCTGGCCTACACACAAGTTCTTGTATGCATAAGTAAAAGATTTAAAAAGGATGAAATTTGGAAAAGCAGTGGTGGAGAATAGAAAGGTCACCCTCTATTAGGCAACATGTATCAAGTTTTACAAATGCATAAACCCTTGTGGCAGCAAAAAGCTAGAAAAACTAGTGTCCATTTCTACAGGATTAGTTATGGTATATTCATATAGCAGAATAACACTGCAGCTAAAAAGAATAAGGAATATTGCTGTATAAGACAGGCAAAAAATTCAAAGAAAAAAACAAGGTACAGAACAATGCCTTTTAATATAATTCTCTCTGTTTTAAAGGACAGAAATAAATGCAGTACACACTCTTTATATACATAAGTTAGATTTCTGGAAGAAATCGTTTGAAATACATGTTTCTTAAATACATATGGGGAGGAAAATAGCAGGGAAGAGAATGGAAAAAAGGTTTTCCATTACTTCTTTGAATTTTGAGCCATATAAATGAATTTTCCACTCAGAAATTTGAAAGAATGCCCTTTTCAGATTTTGCCAATTCATATCAGAAATCATTTTTAGCATTATTTTTGCCTCATACAGTAATTTAGTAGGTTGCACTTAGATTTTATGTCACAGCTCCTACTCTTTTTTGTTAGCAGTGATAATAATTATATCAAATAATCTAACAAAAAAATTCTTTGCAGGATATTAATGCATACTTTTTTTTAAAAAATTTATCTTGTCTCTTACCTATCTTACTTTCCTAGCTGCTTCTTCCTTTAGGTCAATTTCTTCCATGATTAAATTCTATTCTGTTATAACATATGACTTTCAGTAAACAGCCTTAATCCATTTTACAATTCATTAGATAATTATCCTTAATAATAATTTTGATAAAAGTTGTGGGGGGTCCACTATTCAGAATGGTGGTACTGAACATAGACTTGAAGGTTCCTAAGAAATCTTAAATATTCTTACCACACAAGTCATTTATGTGCGGTGATGGAGGTATTAGGATTAAATATATTCTGATCTAGATGTTGCAAATACTTTCAAATAAGTTGTTAAAAGTGCTTTCAGCAACAGTAATGTATTTTTCCAGCTTATTCACAGGTACTTCGCCTGTCCCACCATTGGGCAAGAGACCCACAATTGCTAGCATTTTGTTAACCCCAGTTTCTAACCAACCACAAAAAGTTTTTAAACCAGACTTCTTTAAACAACATAGTTGTGTTATTGAAATTGTCTGAGGAAACATTCTAATCCCAAAATTATACCAGCCTGTCATTTTTCTACATCCATCAAATAACTGAAACTACTAGGCCAAATAACAAAGTAACACTTACCAGTAGCACAGATGGCTTTGTAGAGCAAATAAATACTCATTAAAACTTTCAATGGGCTTCTCCTGTAGCACGTAGTCAATACGCTGGCCTCCATTCAGCATTCCCACATTAATGGGCGGGTCTTCTTTAACTGCCACAGAGGGCTCTTCTGTGTTAACATCTGGATATGGAGGAACCACAGTAAGAATCTACAAGCTTCCTGTCCTCCAAAGTAGTACTGTTACTAGCTCTCATACTCAGAGTTTACCATCCAATGAGTTGATTTCCATTTGGAAAGCTCTTGCTCATTTTCCTCCCCTCAAGCCCTTTAAAGTGTCTCAGGTCGCACTGATTTTGTCCAATCCTGTGCTTTCTTTACATCTGATAGCTAATACATTTACCTTCCACTTATAAACTAAATGTAAGGAGGGATAAAACTCTTTAGGTGGCTGAAAGCTAATGCAAAAAAATGAAAAATTAACTGATGAATGTTGAAAAAAAAGTACCCTAAGTAGTCCCCAGCCAGGAAAATAAAACTGATCCATGAATATTTCCTTGTAAAAGCAAAGTGTTTCACAGAGTAGGTTCTAAACATCACCCCATTTGTGTGGGGAATGTTTGCCTTATTACCAGACGCTCAGTTTCTCAGGATATTTTCCTCACAACAATGGTTACCCATAATTTGTAGTTACAGATGACAGAAAAGATCAGCCAAATTGAAATTCCCTTGAGAACATCTATATTGGTCCTATAAAATAAAAAGGAAGGTGGTGGGGGGGAGTCCCTGGGAAAAAACTACTATATAATCTCTGCCTCTTCTCTGATCTGATGCAGTAAATCAGTAAGCATAGTGTCACTGACCGCCAGGCTTCTCTGAACTTGATTCAGATTCTATTTCAATTTCTTCTGTAGTTTCTGAAGCTTGTAATGCAGGGGTTTGTGGTCTGGTAAAAGACTTCCAGGCCATCCGTAGTGAACCTAGCAAGTTGTTCTTAAGGTCCATGCTCATTCTAGTCAAGCCCTCTCTCAGTTCTGAAACACATATTAATAAAGAACATTGAATAATTTATAGAATTTAGAGTCCAACCAAGCATAACAGAAAATGTCCAATCAGTTTGTACAAGCCGGAAGATCTAGAATTATCGCATTCTGTACTAAGACTTACCTAAGTGCATTCGCTTCCTGCCTTTATGATGTGGGATCAGCATTGGCTCAAACTCCACTTCTGGAACAATCATTGGTTCAATCCTATAGGCCACAGGGTCAAACTACATACACAGGAAAGACAGTAACTATAGCTACTGTACTATAGTTCTTCAGCAAAGTTAAGTGACCTAAGGAACTATATATTGGGCAAGAATAATTAAATGGTAATTTAAATAAAAAGGTACAGTTTTCTGTATCAATTCTATTAAAAGTTATCTCATTACAAACAGCCATATACCCCCATTTTGTGGGGGTGAGTGGGGAATGGGATCAAAAACGGGGGGGGGAGGGGGAAGGGAGGGAAATGCACGGGACTATGGTGGTGGCACAGGGGTGATTTGGTGATGGGAAACCCGTGGGGATTACAATTGAGATGAAAAAAA